CCCAGGACAAAGCCAGGCAATGCCAGTCTCTCCCAGCCCCATTCCTGCCCACAAAGCGCCTCCCGGTCACTCCACATTCGCACTAACAGCTCCCCTCCATGTCCTCCAGAAAACAAACAAGTTGGACTAAGAAAACTCTTGAGAGAACTTCATTATCTATTCTTCTCAGCAAGTCAGTAGCTACTTATTTGCTCTCGTATTGCAAATCACTAGAAAATTCTTCCTTTCCCATCCCATCAGCAACTTTCATAACATTTGTAGGAAGCGTATGTCTGAGACTGCCAACTCCCACCATAAAACATTGCTCACCACTGGTGGAGAGATACTGGTAGGTGAGGACAGATAGCTCGTACACCTGAGGATTGCCATCCTTAGGAAGTGAGCCTGATTATTTTCTTCCCATCCCACCAGCAAACAGCAGAAGTCCTGAGGGTGTTGGCCAAACACATCCCACAGCGTAACTATGAGCAAAGCACTCTGAGAAACATCAAAGCAACAAAAGTTAGAACCCATACTGCAACACTCCAACTCCTTACAGCAGCAGCACACAACATTCCATACAAACCACACAATAAACTGCAAAAATAAGTGCCTAATTCCTTGCTTTCACACACTATCTGAAAACCTTCCTTTCAATCTTATTTCTCCTGTAGCTAGAAAAGCTTGGCAAGCTTCTAGCATAATGTGGGCAGCTAGCATTCAGATGATCGCAAACTAGTATTAGGTCACTTCTCATCCAGCTCTGCAGACCAGTTTTTCACATGAATAGCTATGCTGTCATCTGGTTGCTGTTTTCTAAGGTAAATGAGCCAAGACACATTCATCTCTTCCCACAAAACAGCATATTCAATCCTAGGTTATCTCAGTAACAGAAGTACAGATGTACCAAACTGCAACCGCACTGCTTGCTCCATTAAATGAAGCCTCGCTAGGCTTTCCTGTCTATAATGAAAGTCTCTGCTGTCACACACCTCAGGAGCTGTTCTTTTCCGGAGGCATTTCAAGGGGTGATTCATTTCTCATTCGGTCAAATAACATTTATATAGTTCTTCCATAACCCCTGACCGATGAATTCATTTGCTCATTCTCAGGTTCACAAAGAAAAACCGTTCTTCAGGGCAACATAATTGAACTCAGTACTACTCAGCGCACTGACCACCCAGTTTTCCAGACAAATCAGCAAGCCCACAGCTACTACCACCATCTCCCAGATAACTGTTACTCTGAGGTTTATGAGCACATCCCTCTGTATGGCTTCGGTCCCAAAGCACATCACTGAAGAATATCCTTAGTCACGTCCCTGCTGCTGCCAGACTCTTACAGCTGCTGGCAGCAAGGTAAAGAGAAGATGGAATACAATCTACATCCCACAACACAGAACCCAGCTGCAGTGACTGATATTGCTTCCCAACTCGTCAACTCACAGAATCATAGAGCGGCTCGGGCTGGAAGGGACCTCCCAGCCCCCTCCCTACCATGGGCTGGCTGACCCAGCAGACCAGGCCAACCAGATCCTCTCCACCAAACATGGAAAACTACCCAATTTTGGAGAGGCCTTTCTCAATCTCTCTGAAACCTTTCATTTTAAACATGTAATAAACTGCTTCAGCAATGCAGGGAAGCTGCAACGTCAATCACCTCAAAGCACTCCTTCACCTACCCACCGCCTAACACGTGAGGGGGTGAGAACTGAGCATGATGACAGGAGCTCCACGGGGGCAAGGCAGACCTTTTCTAAGTTTTACAGTCTTGCTTTTCCATACGTTACTATGAGTTGCAAGATGTGCAAACCAACAAATAGCAGCAGGGGAAAAAAATGAAGATACCAATCAAAAAGCAGAAGCTGCAGTACAGAACTGTAACTAGGACACTGAGATGCTCCAGCCTTTCTTAGCAGCAAGGGAAGCATTTGTTTTGTGCATTCATGCTTAAAGACTTACTTCTTATTCTCACCAATTAAATAATGAAAATAAATACACAAAACTCACTTTCTGCAAACAAAGCAATCGACAGATTTTAAGCCAGTAACTCTGAACAAAACAACAGCAGTTGCTGTTCATGCAGGCAGGTTTTCCTGCTTCCCTGTGATTTAGCATCCACACGTTTAGCATGGCCAGCCACAAAGTACAGGATCAACTACATATATCTTTGGTTTGGGCTTGTTTTTGATCATCACCTAACCGTGCTCCTTGCAAATATAAAGCAGCAAAAATTTGCAGCTTAATTTAATGAATCAGCTCACAAGCATTTGCTAAACTTTAAATAGCAGTTATTTATTAGAGGGATCTCTTTCACCTGCTTAGCTTTTTCTTTTAATTCATCGTTATTACAGAATATTTGCTTTAGAAGCTTAGTGCTTTGAGAGGCTGCTTTAGAACCACACGAACACTAGGGGGCTGGAGAGTTCATTATCTGCAATAACCCACTCGGAGTGTTGAGCAGCACTGTGTACAAGGACTGTGCCCAGCAGTGCCCACAGGAGAGTGCTGCCAACCCCAGGACGTGTGTTCCCAACAGGCACTGCTTACAAGCACTGCTACAAAGAGCTGAAGTCGCAGCAGACTACAGGCAGAAGCAGGGAGGAAGAACTTCAGCTGCGTCAGTGCTGCAGTCCACTTCTTTATTTTGAATATCCCAAGCGATTTTTGAGCAACTTTGCTGCAAAAGCATGCGAGGAGTTGTGTGCAAGCCAGGCAGTGCTGCACTGAGCTGCAGGCACCCAAGGCTTCTTCAGCTGCAGCTGAAGGCACAAGAACTTCGGAACTCCCAGAAAGCTGCTGATGTTCCATCAATAACTTTAATGAATTCTCATGCAGTAACGAGTCGGCGTTGCTATGAAGGGTGCCAGCAAGCATGTGACAAATGTCTTCTGAAACTCTTTGAATGCCATTGCAGAATACAAAACCCTTCTGTATCAACATGTTGAGAGGGGAAACGTGGCATCTTCCTGAAAAAAGTCTATGTAAATGTTACGGTCTCGTGGCTTTCCCATCGGTATTTCACATCATAAGACCATGCAAAGCATTGGGAGTTAAAGAGGTAATGCTGCAGTTTCATGGACTGTCGACATATTTCATCATTTGTCACCCAGGGTGAAACGAGAGGAATGCACAAAGCAAGAGTTACTTTCAATAAAGAAAACTGCATCCAAATTATCTACATCACGGCACAGCGTTGCTGTGCCCAAAGCACAGAGCAGGCAGCCAAGCCTGCCCAGGGACACCACTGTATTTCACCAGAGAGCCGCGCTTTGTGTTGCAGGAGTAGGACACATACTCCCCCCCCAACAGGGATGTGACACACACTGCCCTAGTGCAAAGGCACATCAGAAACATTTCAGAGCTTGAGGAGTACATGAGAAAAAGCTCACCGGGTTTCTTGGGATGGACAGTGCTGAATAAAAACAAATTAATAAAGCCCAAGAGATAAGCTCACACCAGTAACCTGTACAAAGAAAATTCCTTTAGCATACACTCTTTTGTTTGTGAAGCAGGAATAACTTAAATTAGCAAGATTTCAAGAGATCAGAATCTACTTTGTTTCCCTTTTATGTTTTTGGCAACGCATCTCCCAACAAAACGACACCTACACGTTCTGCAGCAGAGCACAACCGACTCGTGAGGGCTAACAGAGCTCCCTGTGCGGCCCCAGCACCGCTCTCTCCTGTGGCACAAAACTCCCCACACGAGTGGCGTTTCCCACCCACCCTCACTGGCCAAGCACAGCTCAAACCTCTGAGTCCCAAACCCACCGTGCCAGCATCCCACAGCTAGAAAAACGACCACATAAAGGAGGAAAACCAACACAACATGAAAGATGAAGCATACACTGCAACAATACCTGCAAGTTTAGCACCAGGACAAAAGGGCTGGCTTTCCACCAGGGCTTCACATATGAGCAAGTTTCAGATACTTTGCATCCTCCAAACAACCACACAAAGCGCAATGCAATTTGTTAATTTTTACATAATCCTGGTGACTACATATTGCCCCACAGCTTCTCATCTAACACACACCACACTCGATTGCTCGGGTTTTTTTGTTTTGTTTTGTTTTTTTTCCAAAAAAAAAAAAAAAAAAATCTGAAATCATCTGTTTATTACAGAAGCCGGGTGGCACACCAAGCCAAATCCATGCTGCACAGGGTGCTACCCTAACCTAAAGCATTCCAGTGCATTCTTGCTGCCTGCTGGCACGTTCAGAATTTGCTTTAAGCATTACTGCGACTTCTAACTGTGTGTGTGTCGGCCGTCCAAAGCCCACATCAGCAGCACGGGTCGGATCTTTGTAGCAAGGCAGAGGGTATTTTTCATATTTGCAGAAACCAGCGATCCATGGCGGAACTTAAAAAACCCTATATGGACCATTGCTAAGTATAATGAGGTGTTTCAGAAGCCAACCAGGCACACGCTGCCTACTTTTTTTGTTATTACACAGCAAATATCTCGCAACCCATTTCAAAACACATGCTAAAGCAAAATAAAAACGAAGATCAACGAAGCGGGCGTTTTCCTTTGGCGATGCACCGCACTTCCACGCCTACCAGAAACCTCGCACAGCATTCGCGGCCCCAGCAATAAAAAAAAAAAAAAAAAAAAAAAAAAACAAAGCCACCGGCGGTGCTCTCAGGAATCGGCGCGTAGCCCCGGCAGAGCGCTACGAGCGGCGGCAGCAGCGGAACGCGGCCGTCCCCGTGTCTCCATCTCCCCATCACCTGCCCATCATCTCCCGCCCCGAGCCCCCGGCCCGCTCCCGCCGCAGGTGCGCCGCTGCCGCCCCCTAACGCCACGGCCGCGGAGCCCAGCCGCACATAAACAGCACGGCGGCGGATGAAGGCGCGGAGGAAGGGGAATGGCGCGTTCAGGGGACGAAGGGCTGAGGACGCGTTCTCTGCCGGCGGGCGCCATCGGGCCCCGGAGCATACGGCGCCCCGAGGCCAGGCACGGCGGCAGGCGGTGCCGGGGGATGGCAGGGCAGCGCAAGGGTGTCGGCGGCACCTACCCACGCCGTATTTCTCCTCCTCGGTCGGGCTCCACATGCTGCTGGCGCTGCGGCGGCCACCGGCCGCGGGTCCCCTGGGCAGAGCGGGGCGGGCGGGCGCCGCTCATGGAACGGGGGCGGCTGCCCCTCCTCCTCCTCCCTCAACGGGGGCGCAGCTCCGCGGCCGCCGCAGCGCGGCCCTCGCCTCAGGCTGCCCGCGCCCGGCGGGTCCCGGTCTGGGGGATCCGAGAGGGGCTGAGGGGGGGGGGCGGGGGGAGGTCGCCCCCCTCCCGCCCGCCCGCGCGCAGACGGCTGCGGCCGCGCTTCACCTCAGCGCTCGCCGCCGGCCCGGCAGCTCTTCCAGCGCGGCCCCGCCGAGCTCCGCGGCCCCGAGCCCCGCCGTTCCTGTCACCGCCGTCTTCGTCGCCGCCGCCCCCGAAGGACTCGCGCTACCGCGCCCCCCCGCCGATGGAGAGCAGCGCGCACGCGCGGCTCGCGCCGCACCGACCGCCCTTTCCCGCCCCTCCGCTCCCGCGCGGCCGCACGAGGCGCGAGGCGCGGGGGCGGTGCTGACAGAGCCGGGCCGAGCCTCCTCAGCGCGGGGTCTGGCGGGTCGGCGTCCCGCTGGGTCGATCTCGAGTGAAAACCAGCGCTAAAACCTACCTACAAGCTAAAGTTCTTTTAAAGAACACGGAACGCTAATCTCTACCTTAGGGGGATGGGAGGTGGGGGCGCCTAAATGGCCACAGCCTGGATCTCACGGCTGCTCACAAGGAACTGGTTAACGCACCGCAAAATCCACATTCTGCTCTGGCGCACGGACGCAGGGGCCGTGCTCACCCCAGGCCCTGCTGACTGAAGGGCAGCGAGCGTGCTGCGCTCCCGCTGCTCTTCTGGATCACCTCCCAGATCACTGTGAGGAGCAAAAACCAAACCAGGATTACACCTCCTGAGCAGTTACCAGTAAGATCTTTAACCCAAACACAGCTTCAGCGCACAGGGTTGGCCACAGGAAGAAAACGACACCCTACACACAGCGTTTTTCCAAAACCTCTGGAACTAAATTAGCTGATGTCAGGTCTTAAGAGCACACGAAACCTTTGAATAATCCAACTTCGAATGCACCCAGCACTTTTTATAGAGTATCTGTTCTATCATTATGTAATAAAACAGAATGAAAGTCATCAATTTGCACTAACAGAACTTAGGTTGCTGTGGAAACCTTCATTATTTACTTCTTTTTAGTGCCCGCAACTTAGTTTTCAGCACTGAACATGGCTAGCTTTGTCTATAGATTTTTGTTTGCTCTTGGAGTTTGGCTTTTCTTCTCTTATACAGAGAACAAACAGAAAGCAGCCAATAACAAATGTTTTACATTACTGATGTAGAAAAAACAACTTATTCAATCACTTCTTAATTCAGATTCATATTTAGGCATATATATTTACAATAGCTTCATTACTTCATGAGGCACTCCCACAGCATGCAGAAATAACTTTCCTAAGGGACAAAAAACTGGCACTGAGTTGCATCTGTTGGAGATAGGCTGCTGGTGGTATTTATAATTTTAGATTATTTTTTTTCCAGTAATAAATACCTGTTTATCTCTTGTTAATACTGAGAGCAAAAAACCTCTGCAGTGACAGGAATCGGTCAGTTCTTCCCAGTTTCCTCATTCTACAGTAGTTCTTGGATTCTTCTTCTGCCAACTGACCAGCAGTGAAGCAGATTTCTTTCTGAGGAAAGAAAAAAAGAACAAAGAAAACAGAAAAGCAACAACAGAATTTTCTTCAGAATACCTCCATGTCCAAGCTCACTCTTTCCATTACAGTAAATATGAAATAAAGGTGGACTTGAGAATACAAGGAGAGAACCTTGTGAAGTTCAATAAACTTGAGAAATAGACTGAGGTCCATAATCAGCTGAAAGAACAGGACCTGCAAGGAACTAAAAACACAAACATTTTGCTTAAAGACAACTGTGATTTTCATTTCTTCATCATGGACATGTAAATGCTAGCATGAACAGCTGGAGTCCTGTTAATGACTAATGACTTGTATTTGAAATATAGTACATACTACTCATGTCTGTCCAACACTTTTTTCTGCGCTGCTGTTGGTGATATTTACTTTTGAGCAGTCACTAGCACAATGCATGACCTGCTTAAGAAAAATAATCAGTACATTTGACTGTAGAGTCAGTAGAATGCAAGTTTGCATAACTTAAAGTTACCAAATGTATTTACATCTGTTCCTCTGATAAATGTGTTCACCAGTTTAATGAGTCTCCTATCACCTCTACATACATACTGCTTTGTTAAATATTCTTAGCCTGAGTGTAGTGCAGAACAAACATCTCGTCCTGTAAAGAGGCAGAGGCACTAATCTCCCATGCAGCAAGTGGGTACCCAGGATCATCCATATGCAGAAAGATAGACCTGAAGTGAACAGCAATATTGTGCTGGGCTGCAAAACAGCTATCTTCTACCTCTCAACATAGCTGACTTCTGCAACCTCAGTATCCATACTGTTCTGTAAAGCACAGAAGAAGCATAATAACATTGTGCAAAGAAAACCAAGAAACATGGAGGTTTTTATGCTCAAATTTTGCCTTTCTTGAGCTGTTTTTGTTTTTCTTATAGTAATGCACAGTTCAAAACCATAACAACAGAACTGTAATCTAATGCCTACTTCATCAGAGTGCTTAGATAGTTCAAAGGTTTTGTTAAAATTAACTTCAGCAATTAAAGTACATTTTATATTTTCTCTAAATATCGGAGCTCTTACAAGAACTTACATCAGTGGACATCACGGATCCCAAACGTAAATGCTTTTCAGAGCAAAGCCACCACCTCTTACAAAAATCACTTGAGCAGCCAGTACAGTACTTGAGTATTGTACTATATGGAAACAATGACAAACACACACTCCGAGGCCTTATTTATTGAAAAAGAATCATTAATCATTCTGAATAACTGTGTTAAAAGTTACTTAAGAATGACTGTGTACACGAGCTGTTATGTCTGAAGTGTTATGAGTTGCTTAGGGTTATGTTACAGCAGATGCAATTGTCCTTATCCATACAGGTTAATGTTCAACACAGTAGTAATTAATGTACGTCTTATACCATACCATCTTGCTAATAATATATATAATCTATAATATAGATGTGATCTGAAAGACAGCTGGCTAGGGAATGGAGAGATTTGACACAGTTTCTTTCTGTTAACTAGATCAAGGGAACGGCACAGTTCTTTTGAATGCTGTGCAAGGGACAATGGAAGGTCAGAGTGCAAACAGCAGCAGTTCTCATACCTTTCTGCAAGCAAATTCTTCTCAGTTATCCCAGCCTCACTGTATCATGAAACATATAACCTTCTGCCCTCCCTTTCAGTTAAGAGCATCGCCATGCTTTGCCCTTTCCCCCCATTCTCTGGGCTGCTACTGCTACTTAGATTATGACTGCAAACCCCTGCTCTACATAGCCCAGAATCCCTGATATCAGAGAAAATCAAGGGATTAATTTTAACCCCCTCAAATTATCCGCTTACATTACTTCCTTTTCTCCACTTGAGGTTCCAGCTTTGCACATTTGCTTCTTATACAGTTCATATCCTCCTCCTGTTTGTACGATGGCTTAAGCCATTAAACAACTTGCCTTCCCATTAATTATGAATTCCTTACCTGGCAGGGAGAACCAAAATGATCTGAAGCAAATACAGTCCACCGCAATTTCCCACAAATTGCAGGTCCTTTTGAAACATGAAGTTTTCCTCCTTTGTCCTTCAAAGTGGGGATTCACATGTCCCAGCAAATGAGTTGTTCTTCCTTTGATGAAATAATCTGAAATTTTTAAGCAGGGGGTCTCAAACCTTGATGTATCGATCTCAATTACATTATTTTTCCTATAGCATAAAGCCCTCTTGTGACCTAAACCACCACACTGCAAATCTAAAATACTGCAAATGAGAGCAATTTATTTTTTTTTAGGCACTACACATTGCAGTGTTATTGCCCCACAGCCTCATCCACCTGAACATCCTTTCCTCAGGACAATTATTGCTATAATTATTGCTTAGGACAAACCACCAAAAAACATCACATTTGTAACTGTGAGATGTAACTTACTTTTGCTCCAGTTGAAATATTGCTTGAGAACAAATTATAAAAACAGGAAAGAGCAGGACTTGCGTAAGTACAAAGACGGATCGATGTTTTTGTGCCAGTGTGAAACAGTTTGTAAGTTTCTATGTTGCTTGCCTAGAAGGTGTCTGAATCAAGTCAGACAAATATTTTATTTTATATTGTTTTAAGCACAGAAGTAGAGAACAGATTGACTAATGTTTCAATACCAATAGCATATACCGAGTATAATTATGAAAAATTCAGTGCAGGTGGTAATTTTTTAGTCAGCTGGACCTTTATTTATAGTACACCACAGCTTGAGCGGAATAAACATTTTCCCAATACTAAAAAATACCTTGTTCTTCAATTTGCAAAAAGAGACATTTTTTCGTTTGAATCTTCATGCAGCATGAATCTTAGAACCACAAAACAGTAGCGTTCGGAGTTCAATTCCAACTCCCCAGCTGAAGCAGGTTCCCTGCAGTAGGTTAATACTTAGAGTAGATTAAGCACTTAAGAAATTTGAGAAAAATACTATTGCAGCCCCATTCTCACTTACCCCTGATACACTCACTACAGCAAATTGTCTATTAAAAGAGAGAAAAAAAATGTAAAACATTAATTAGCACTGTTGTGACAAATTGATACCTTTTTCTGTTAACTCCTTTTAACATTCAGGATACAAGCAACATGACCAAAGAAACAATTAGCACTTGTCATTTTTGAAATGAGAGTTCAGAAATATTTTCAAACTCTTCTTGTGAGTGTGGGTTTTTTTGGTCTTTTTGTTTGTTGGACTTTAATTTCTGATGTTAGATACTTATTTATTGCCTTGAAAGATATCTTTGATTATAAAAAATTGAGTGAAGCCGTCTGAGCAGCGGTTTCATCACTCCTGGAAGTCCATCAGGGTTGCTGTCTCAGGGGCTGACTTCAACCACAATGCTTAGCCAGGCATCTACAGATGAATGCAGAACCAGATTTATTCGTGCACGTATTTAAGTGCTCTCTCTAATGGTGTTGCTTTGTTTAGGGACAACCAAACCTTGGTTCATAGAGAATAGCGGCTGGAGACTTAGCGGCTTGCTCTATGCCCTTTACACACAGTGCTGACCTGTGGAAAGGGAGCAGATTGATTTCCCTCTGAGCTGGCTGGAAGGTGCAGGCAGAAATACGTTCCTACCAGCTTACTGTTCCCAGTTCAGGTGAACCCACTCACATGGCAAGACACGGAGCAGCGGCCATTTTGCTGTCAGGTACCGCATGGTTTGGCACCCACAGAATCACAGAATGGCCTGTGTTGGAAGGGCCGCAGGCAGGGCCACCAACCTCCCCTTTTAATACTAGATCAGGTTGCCCAGGGCCCCATGCAACCTGGCCTTGAACATCTCCAGGGATGGGGCATCCACAGCCTTTCTGAGCAGCCTGTTCCATTCAACAACATACTGATATTATTATTCATATCTAATCAAAATAAATACAGAATACATTTTTATAATACATAAATATTAGAAAGTTTGTGGCTCTTTTTGTTGTTGTTAATCTGAAATAGTTAAAATGTGAAAAGTTCAATAGATAGGTAAATCAAGCTTCTAACTGCTAATGTCATGTGCCCAAAGGAAAATCATGCACTGAACAAACAGACTAATAGTTAAGTCTTCGTGCAAACTTCAGAATCCAAAATGAATATGAAATATAATTCCTGTGAAAGACTTGACAATACTCTAATTGTCAAGGAGAGAGAGAGATCTCCTGCTTGTGTTTCCAGCATGCTAAAAACATTTCAGTCTCTTATAGATTAAGCCTTTGGAACCTTGTCTCACTGCATGCCTAAGTCACAGCTGCATCCAAAGGCATTTGGCTGTGCTATTTGTGTTAACTGGAAAACAACAAAAAAGAACAACAACAAAAAAAAGCAAAACAAATCAAAAAATGAAAGAAATGTGTTTTAGAAGCTTTGACCTCTGTAATGAAATCGAGATAACCTTGTGCAGAATAAAAGAAATAGAATACAAAAGAATAGGAACATTGCATGATACGGCAAAACAATTAGTCAAGAATTACATAAACTGACATGACTCTGAGAAAGGGATGAAGTTACTGTTAATCCATCCGATCTCCTTACATCAAGCTCTGAAACTGAATCAATGAAGTGACCAGCAGCTGATTTATCTCAGTAACAAAGGCACGGAAACCTCATCAGCCATCACTACAACAAAGTAATCAATACTCTCATAAATAGGCTCTCGTGCCTTAATTTAGTGTGTTAAAATTGGCAATAAAAAAAAAAAAATTAATTGGCAATATTCTCAACAAACTCTTCTCAGAATGACATCCATATATCCCCTCTTACTGGTGTTCTCACTCACGATTCCATCGACAAAATGAAGTTTCTGATAGCTGCTGACCAAGTGACAAGGACTCAGATTTGACTCCTCCCAGCCTCACCCAGACACTCTTAAGCTCAGTGAACAATCCTGGTGTGAACTTGAGCAGTAAAGACTTAGCCTGGAGCTCCTCAGGATGCTGTCTAGCTGTTACAGACATGCAAGCAGCAGCTCAGTCTGTAGGAGAGGTACTTTCCTGAAAAACAGCAAGAAATGTCCTCATACAATGCAATGTCTGAATCAGTCAATAGGAGAAAAAAGCCTTGGTTAAACAGACTGTTTCCACATGGAAAAAAAAAAAACATAAGAACTGTGCAGGTGCCAATTAAAAACAAAGAATATGTTCTTCACCTCCTATAAACCTGTACAATAAAATTGTAATTCTTTATGTAGCCATCAGCATAATAAATAAACAGCATCATACCATCCATCAGCAAAATTGCTTGTTGGAAACAGAAGTTCACAGTTCTCCAAGAGAGCTCTCAGCAACTTGTTCCATCTGAAGGCCAGCCATCAAGAGAGGAAAGAATACTCATAGTTTTCAATGAAAGGCACAAAAATCTCAAACACCAAAAGAGGCAGAAAACAGAATGATTGTTCAGAAGCCAACTATGACCCAGTAGTGCTTCAGTCACTTTTAAGTATAAAGGCAGCATCCCATTAAATTAAACCCATTAATTCCCTCAAAGGAAACGGAAGATCTAAATCTTGAGAGAAGAATTTACAAAAGTTATTTTTTCAGTCATCTTTGTTCCTTACAAAACATGACACACAACAAAGGACATACTCAGAAAATATGTTTTTCGTTTATGAATTCATTTATGATTTATAAGTTATCCACCATGACATCACATTACCATTGAGTTTGGGGTTGGCTATGGTCACTGCTACCTTTCTATGTAGGATAAGCAAACACATATTTGTTTAGTAGCACTAAGTCCAGCAAGAAATATAAAAATACAGCATGCCTGTCAACCAGAGCATAAACATACTCTGCAAACAGATTGCTTGTCTAATTGAACCTGTTAGTAATATGAAGATTCAGGCAATTCTTAATGATTCCTTTTTTTCTCCCTGTTGGCAATGGATGAGGATCTCCAGGAATTTAACTTCAACACGCGCTGTTACAAACAACTTACTGTTCACAATTACAAAACTGCAAATTTTGATAAAACGTTTGCATTTTCCTGTTAAGATATGTTTTTTTTTCTTTTGGTGTCTGCTATACCACTCAGTCCCCACGGAAAGTTCAGAATATTATTTTATTCTCACAGTGCTTGAGTTGAACTGTATTAGCTTGAGCTGTGACAGCTGTTCCTTGTCACCCTCTAGACATGATGCATTCAACAGAGATTTAGCATTTCAAAGCCACTGTCAGGAGGAACTAATGGCAGGGTTTCCAGAGGACAGGTAATCTTCCACTAATACCAATTCTATTGCAAGCTGGCAAAACCTGTAGTTCAACAGGTTCAATAAAATAAAACAAAATAAAATTACTATTCCTTACCAACTAGTTTGGAATTCATATAAATTGTTGCAGTATTTTTTTATTAGACCAACTTGCTTTGAGGAATGGAAGACATACATTATTGGGTACAAAATCTGCTGAGGAAATCGTATTCTATCAGTGCCTATGAAGAGGCAAGAAGACTAACAATTAAACTGTATGTCTGCTGTATCATTTAAAAGAAGCTAGTGAAAATCTAAGAATAATGGTGATGAAAAGGGATAAAAATAAACTACAGAAATAAACTGCAGTAATGCAAACATACTACCATTATGAAACAAGGACATAATAGGTTAAAGAAATGTAGGTAGCACAGACAAAACAGAATTTCTGAGTCAAAATAATTTGGGGGGAATGACAAACCATCAGTGAGTTTGCTCAAAATTTTCAAGAGCATTCCAGAATTGGACTTGATTAAAAAAATAATGTTACTTCTTCTAGAAATTGTATCACTATAGCATATAGTTTCCAGACAGAGGCAGGAAAATCAGTGTTCTGTCAGCAGTGGCATTCATGTCCTTGTTAGTGTGAGAGTTGCCAGGCTTCTTTTCCAAACATCTTATGAATTCACATGAAGTGATACTATTGTGAACATAGGTTTGACCTGCAACAAGGACACTATAAAAGAGTTGATCAAATCACCCTGGAGTGAAGGAGCTAAGATGGTTTAGTTTAAATGAAATGGTAAACAAACACTGGACTCAATTTTGATTTTAATGGAAGAATATTTTGGTAGCTATGGTAACTATTTATTGAAATTAATTTGGCTGAAAAATGTAGGAACTTAAACTCTACATCAGTAGCATACTTATGAAAAGAAACCACTGTAGAAGGCAAAGGTCAAAGTTTGAGAACCTCAGGGCATAAATCTCCACATTCTAGAATATTTTGACATCTCAGTGTCCTGTTCTGAAATACATTTTTAATATATTTACCTTTTAATTCCAGTCCTAAAATGAGACAGCTTTACTCAAGAAGGTACAACCAGAGATTCATCAACTATTTCACTATTAGTCAGACATCAGTGAAGTTTTCAAATGCTTTTGAATGAAATGCTAAAGAAAAAATATGAAGTATGACAAAACGTAAATTTTACTTAAATATAAAATTACTTTTCTAGATAAAGCTGTACATATAAGATAATCTGCAGGTAACCTACCCTATTTTCAGTGAGGCTGAAGGGTACACAAAGTAGAGAATAAAAATCTCAGTGGGGAGAACTGAGTGCTTCAGAGTTGCCAATGGGTCCTGAGTCTTCCAGGGTTCCTTCCAAGATACTATTTTCATATAGTATTTATTTCACACTATTCCCAAAAACAAAAACAAGCAAACAAACACTAGAAACCATATTAATATAAACAGGGATGCAGCGTCACAGTGGGGGATCGGAGTAGCAGGGAAGAAATAGGTAAATTTAATGACAGAGTATGGGGTGAATGCTAATAGTACAAAGTAGAAAGTCATGCTCTCAGAAATTCCAAATCTGCTGTAAGGTTAAGATTCACAGGTTGAAAACGTGTGAGGAAGGAAAAGGCCTGTGTGTGGTACAGGGTGGCTAACAGCCTGGCCTGCAAAGCAACCACAGGTAAAAGATCAAGCATGATACTAGGGCGAAGCAGGACAAGGTATTTTCATTGAAAACAGACTACTTAACAAAAGTGTTGGTAAAAGCTATGTGCAAGAACTTTGCAGTACTTTGTGTAATTACACCCTCTCTGCTCCGGTAATACAAAGAAGGGTTATTAGGGACATTGAAATTTGGAAAACTGAACTTCTACCACACAGAAGACATGAAAAAAAAGAAACTTGCCTTACCTTGATTAAGAATAAGCAGAGGGAAGATGGAGTCACTGTTAGGAGATCATTACCAGACAAATGTTTGTTACAAAGACCTTGTCATACTGCAAACTTTTGTTTTGAGGTTGCTATCTTAAAAAAATAAATATTTTCTTCAGAGCCTTTTCTCTTGTTTTTTGATTAAATGCATTATCACAGTTTTCTTTTAAAGGAGGGAAATGTACATGTGACAGAAACAGACAAGAAGTTTCAAACTACCTGACTTCTCCCTGCTGTAACTAGCCCTGTTAGGTCTAGGAGCCAAAGCATGTGACCAAAACGTATGTTCAGCAGTTTGTATGGAAGTCTACTTGTTCTTCCTAAACACAGAACATGACTAATGCAAAGAATATCCTTGTGCAGAAAAAAAAATCTGCAACCAATATCACATCTACCGATGGCAGCCAAAAGCAGTCGCGAACTCTTCATAACATTACAAATGTAATACCAGGAATGATCCTATAAAATGACAGTGAACTGCTATAAATATGACCATATAGAGTTAGCTTGCTTACAGCAAAGTCAGTCAAGCAGGGTTTGGTTGAGCTACTTGAATTTAAGAAGTCTCATTTTAATTTTTTATTCTAAATACACATTTATGGGAACTGCAGCATAGGAAATACTTTATTTGAAAGCCAACCACAGCCACATTATTTGCTCAAGCAAGCTATAAACCAGAGATGAATCCTAAGCAAAGGAACTTCATTCTGAAGCTATAAGGTGTCTGATACACTTCCAGAGATGGCTTTCACTAACTCAGATCTTTACAATCCACGGATGCCTAATTCCCTAGGATTATTTGTTGGAATATTAAAAAAGCTTTCTATTTATTATGAATATGAATCATGGGAAGTTTCCCCCTAAATGTCATGTAAATGTGCTAGCAAAAGTTCCTTTGGAACAGAAGCATTATAATATTGAAAATTATAATGGTAACTATTATCCCTAAAATACCATTATTGTGCATTGTCAGCATTACAGATCTATTGAAAATTAATACAACACTATGAAGATTTTATTACTGCTACAAACAGTAGCTCAGTCCAGACAACTAGAACGAAGCAATCAGACCAGAAGCAGCTATCTAACTAATCATAACAATCCTTATCCTGTTAACAAGTCCCAGTGAGAGCAACACAAAGCTCAGATGAATTCAGATGAGAAGGAAAATAATTATTTCTAACTAACTTACTTTAATCTTAACATAGTTTTGCATCCCTTTCATAATAAAACATGCTGTGCCAACTTCTGATATCTTCTGATATCTATTCTTCCCCCCAAAAAGAAATCAGAAATGTTCAAGGAAAAAAAAGCTAAAAGAATAATCTAAGTTCTGAAAAAGAAATCTTCCTGGCACAGAGGTTTAAAGAGATTCATCTTGTCAGCTTTATCTCGTTAGTTTTTTAAAAGAGAAGAGTAAGACGTAATATGATCAGAGTCTATAAGCATATACACAAGAAAATTTCTGATACCTCTTTAAAATCTAGCAGACAAAGGCATTACAAGATCAAAAGGCTCAATGCTGATGACCTGTTAAGATTGGAATAGGTGCAGATTTTTAATCATGTGAGAAAAATTGGTACAATTTAACAGAGGATGTAAAAGACTCTTAATTGCTTTAGTTTTTAACTCTAGGATGGCAGTAACTTGGGAAAAAAACCATTCAATAAATGTGAACAGGAAAGACAGTGTTGATGCAAATTGGTGGAGTATCTTGGTGAAATATACTTAAACTCATTTTTTTTTTGGTAGTAGGATATCGGTACCATGCTCTACAGAACAAAACCTTGAGGTGATCTTATCTCAATTTTATATTTGTTATTGAAAGTGAAAACACACGTATGCAAATATACTGTAGCACAGAATTATCACGGAATCATAGAATATCCCAATGAAAGGGACCTACAAGGATTGCAGAAGGGTTGAGATTGGACAAAATGAATTCAAGAGGTACTTTCCAAACCCCTGCTTCAAGCAGATCATCTAGATCACATTGCCCAGGATCGCATCCAGGTGAGTTTTGAATATTCCAGAAAAGAAGAGTCCACAGTCCCTCTAGGCAGCTTGTTCCAGTGCTTTGTAACTCTCAAAGTAACTCAGTTTTTTCTGATGTGCAAATGGAACGTCTAGTGTTTCAGTTTGAGACTATGGAGAATGGCCTAGCATCCACCAGCCATCCAATGACACCAGTTCCCTCAGTACTCATGGGTGCATCTCATTCGGTCCCATCGACTTGTGGCTGTTAAGTTTGCCCAAATTATTTTAACCACCAAGGACAAGTCTCTTTTTGGACTTCCTCCCTGCGCTCCAGGGTCTGCTGTTCCAGGCAGCTCATCTCAGAAGTGAAGACTGAAGCAAAGAAAGCATTCAGTAACTGCCTTATCCAAATCCTTTGTCACCAGAACACCAGAACCCACTCAGTAGCAGGTCCACATTTTTGCTAGTTTTTCTTTTGCACCTATGTGAAGAAGCCCCTTCTTGTTGTCCTTTACACTCCTTGTCAGATTAAATTCCAAACTGGCCTTAGCCTTTATTGTCACGTCCCTGCATACTCTAACAACATCTGTATCTTTCTCCCACGTGGTCTGTCTCATCTTCCACATTTGTATGCTTCTTTCTTCTGTCTGAATTTTCTCACAGTCTCCTTGCTCATCCATGCAGGCCTCCTGCCTTGCTAGACTTCTAGTACAAATGCACTGACTCTGAGCCTGGAAGATGAGATGCTCGAATATTGACTTTCTCTCTTGGTCTCCTCTTCCTTGTAGGGTCTGATCCCATGAAGTTCTTCCAAGCAGGTTCCTGTAGTCCAACCCCCAGCTTCACACAGGACCACCCAAACCCTATGGCTGAGAGCAGTGTCCCCATGCTCCCTGAGCTCCAGCATCACGGGACCATGCCCACCACCCTCTGGGGCAGAGCCTTTCCCTGACCCCAATCTGACATCCTCTGACAGTTCCACGCCATTCCTTCGGGTGCTGCTGCTGCCACCACAGAGCAGAGCTCAGTGCTGCTCTGCTGCTCCCAGTAAGGAGCTGCAGACCTTTTCATAGTAAATGATAGAAGTCAAGGTCCTATTATAAAACTATATTGTTGGATGCTGTGTTTTCTCTTTGTTTATCCTTTATGGAAACAAAAATTAAAATTAAAAATATTTTTTGTCTCCTTTGCCATAGAAAAAATAATTTGTGCATGAGTGAAGGAAGTCTGAAGTATAAATTGCCTGAAACTTTTTTGGAGTTTTCACAGCCAGGAAAAAATATATTAGGTGTTCAGATCCCAGGATTTTTCCTGTTTTTGTAGTTCAGAACTTCCTAGAAGGTTTAATATAAACCAAAAGATTCTACAGACATGACAACTCTCACTGGCATGCTGACAGACTGTGCTCAGTCTCAGTGGGCAACACCACCTACGTTTGGTATTAAAGAGAGAACTATGGGTTTACCTGTTCATTTAAGAAATAGAGCTGTCTGAATCTGCTCACAGATTTTGAATGGCTGAACAAATCCTGGTAATGATGGCTTAGCAATCAGGGTGTCAGTGAAATGGTAAATTCTGACCACTGAAATTCACAGCTACTAGCAGTTGTCAAAATTCACAGCTGTAAACATCACATACATTTGTAATGTATCAGCCATTCACACGCCTGCTCTTCCCTATCTGCCTATCATCAGATCTTGGTTTCTCCACATACTTCCCAGTTGTGACTCCTCTGCTTCAGATTTAGCACAGGAGTGGAACAGAAGACCTGGCTCTACCTCTGGAGAATAAAATCAGGAACTTCGTCTCTCCTTTTCCTTATGCAAGCCAAGTGAAGATCAGTGCGACCCTGCCTCTCTCTGCTTTCTAGTCCTGGTGAAATGGTGCTAGGGCTGGCAGGGAGGCTGGCAGGGCCTCGCGCATCTTGGTGCACAGTTTGCTGTCATAGACCTGTCTCCCTGGTGCAGCAGAGCACTGAGTGACACAGCGGTGCTCAGTCTGGGACTGCCAAGCCAATGGAACAAAGTGTAAAACAACCCACTGGCTTCTGCTCCAGCCTTCACACACATGGATTCTTCACTGAGAAGTCCAGCACCTCGCAGCCTCCCCAAGCTCCTCTTTGCTTTGGGAAAGGAAACTGATGTTTTAATTCTGTATAATCTCCAACAGCTTTTCTAACTATTTACTGTTTCTGAATCATACAACCCTTGAATCAGTTCTCAAGTGGTTAAGACTCAGACAGAATATACACCTGAGAAGGCAGACAATTAATTTCCAATAACATCATGACTGTGTGCACACTTTCCAATAAAAAAAAAAAAAAAAGTTTGAGGTTCTAAAAGCAGTCAGAGTATTTTCCCATCTGCATACTGGTTCCTGTTGCCCAAGATCCCTTATGATCCCTTAGGCAACCCAAAGGCAGACTGAGGGGTTCTGTGCTACATTTCCACAGGAAAGCACATGGGAAATGAGCAGCCTTTTTTGTTTCATCCCAGTCTTGCCCTTCTTAAATACTCCAGGCATATTTTGACTTGCTGTGCATAACATTCAGATTATGCTTCTCTTTTTCAGTGATTCGTTGGGTTAGCTAATGCATTAACTGTTCTATGGTTTTCTTTCATATTAGTCTAAATCTAATACAATATTAACAGATCAGCTGTCTTTACCAATTACTTACTTAAATTTTGCTGTAGCAAAAGCCTCAATTAAAGTGCTGTGGAAAAGGGATCATTTCAGTAATTTAGAGCACAAAGCTCACTTTTGTGCAAGATTTTCCAATACATGATCCCCTGAACTCAGCTGTGTGTGGAAGAGAACTGCCTGCTTGGATGAGCACGCTGGAGTTATATGACAAGCTCAGATGCAAACGATTAAATCTGGATAGATGAATCTTGCATTGGCTTTCAGTACTTACATAGAATAAGGTTCGTTCATAGGAATGAATCAAGCTTGGGAAGTAGTTCTGATGAGAAATGTACTCCATTCGTCGGAGGTGTTGTGAGTGCTGATTGTGAGCCTGATGTCTCTCATTAGCTGAAGTTAGACAGACACCGTTACACCTAGGCGCACGCTACAGAGTCAGGCCATAAATTGCTTTTCTGCTTTTTCTGCCAGCGGTCTGTGCACCACATTCTTGGGCTGCAGGTAATTCATCTCACACACTAGGAGGAGCATCACTGCTCAGCAGCCTGACCAGAAACAGCCAGCAAGATTTTCAGTCACTGAGCACAGAGCAGGAACAGAAACATTCTTTGGTCTTGAAAAGAGGAAAGGAAGTACGAGAAAGGCTATTTGAATCTCTGATCCTATTTCTTCATCTCCAATGAACTTCTCCAAAATGGGCCAAGTAAGAGCCGTTCTCGACCTGAGAGCTACTTTTGCATGTATCACACACATACCTTCATCTCCCTGTTCCTGCACCATGACACAAGATGAGAAAACATCTGCACAGCTCCACAGTGAACGCTGAGAATCCAGTGTCATAACATACACCTCTTTGGATAAGTTTTGGAGCAGACTAAGGGATCTCCAGCTGTTAAGGGTTCTGCAGCTGCTTAACGGACATTCACAGGTGTTCCTGGAGTGCACATTCTAGTTTACTTTTAAGCAGAAGCAATCCAGTTTGTGTGCACTGACACCATGCAGTATGTGAGGCAAACTGCTCTAAATGGGAATGATCGAAAGATTTACTTCCAAATTGCAAAGGTAGTTGTACTCTGTGTTTAATAAATAAATAAATAAATAAATGAAATTTAAGGGGGGGAAAAAAAAAAACCCAACCAACCCACAACTCAAGCTTTAAATGTTATTCCTTGGTAGGCTCTGAGATAAATATAGTGAGATAAAAAATAAAAAGCAGTAGTATATATAGTATATAGCATAGTTGAACTAAAAAATATGGGCTCCACATTTCTAAATTTAGTATACAGAATTAGGTTTGTTTTGAAGGCAAATGAATAGATATTAAACCACTGACAAAAGTCTTAATAGAGAGGAGCACTTGTGCTGCAGTGTGCTAGAAGAGCCTGTGCTGCTGGGAAGAGAGCACACGTTCTCTGGGCCACAGTGAAGAGGCAGCTCTGCACACTGCTCAGGCACCAGCATCAGAGGTGCGGCACAGATAGAGAGCGGGAGGCTCAGCCACCCTAGGAGCAGATCTAATAATAATTGAGTAGGGCATTTATCACAGAAAACAGAATGGTAAAGAGGTAATTTACAATTAGTTCCAAATCAGGTTAGAGATAAAAATATCAAGCTAATTGGCTTGCCAGGCAATATCGAGCAGGAGGATCCTGCAGGATCTCTGGAGCCATTGTTTCCTTGGCAGACTAAAGCAGGTTTATATGAAAAACAGCCTTCAAGAACTTCATAGGGAGGAACAGATACAAAGGAATTCCTCAAGGAAAATAATCATGCTTTACTATACCAGTGACAGTCATTCATGTAGCTGATGAGTGCAGTTTATTTAATGATGCCAGTCTGAAGCTCCTATAAGAAGGTTGTTTTTAGAGGTTGTAGTTCTACTCTCTCAAATTTAATCCTGGCCTGCAAGTCAACGTTAAAAAGTATATATTTAATTTCAGATATTGAACTTCTATACTGCACCTCAAAACATACGCAGTAGTGTGGCCATCTAGCAACGTGACCCAGTATTTAGCCTCAGCAACTTTAGAGTGGCTGCAACTTCATAACTCAGCCTTTTTGTTTCACAGAATAGCAGAGTTCAGAAGGGACATCAAGAGATCATTGAGTCCACCCCCCCATCAAAGCAGTACCCTACAATAGGTCTCATAAGTCAACGTCCAGCCAGGTCCTGAATACCTCCACTGAAGGAGACTCAAAGGCCTTTTCTGCATTTCTCCTGTTATTTCTAGCCTAACTTTACCATTGCTTGCAATCCATGTTGGCAAGACACCCCAGCTGAGATTTGCACTTCATTTCTCAGCTATCTAGAGCTAGTTACAAATTTCAGGGGGATTCCTTGTCCCCAACTTTGAGAGAACTTGAGAAAATAAAACCTGAGAATTCTCTGAGACAGACCGTATGGCTCAGCACCAGCAGCTACGGCCAAGTGTTCCAAAATACTCCCCACCATGCTGAATGCTTTGATAAATGAGTGTTTGTAGTGCTTGCAGAGAAAACAAGCTTTTCAGAAAACCCAGCCTGACTACATAAAACTGATTGAATCCATGAAGACTATACAGAATTAAAATCATTGTTACCTGAGGCTGTTGTAAAAATTAATTTAATTAAGTGGCTATGGCAATATATAAATGAGATGCAAATCACATTTGAGGGAGTATCAGAATGGGAATATAAATAATTATGATTTGTACAGAGATGGAGAGAAGAAAATGCAAATTATACAAATGTAGATACTGATTTTAAAAGTTTTAGAGATTAAAAAGAATTGTTATGGTGCAACCTTAAATAATGCCTAAACCTCATTTAAAGTCATGTGAGTTGCATCAACATTCAGATGTTTACATATTTTGCCATTAATTTGGCTGTTGAATAAGCATAAATGCAGCTACCCAAAATACTTTAAAATACACTAGGTATTTAACCCAGCTTCCTTTGGTTCTCAGCAGGCAGAAGATGAATTGCTGCACGTGCAGGTACAATGGACACATACACACATGTAAAACAGATTCCACACCAAAGAATTTACAATTGAAACAAATTCTATTGCGAAACCAGAAGTGGTGCTACATAATCAAAAAATCAAAAAAGATCAATTCCATGGTATTTAAAGCTTCATTTAAGAAAGAATTGACTGAATTGAAAAATGAAAGAGACTTGGGGCACTGATGGAAGCGGATGAAGGGCACTGAAAGAAATAAATACATTTGAGTTGATACCACCACTCAGGAGGAGAGGAGACTGGTCCAGAGCCATAAGCAGGAGCAGCATGATGACAGTGGGACACCAGGAAGGGACAGGATGAAAGATACAGAGAGCTGCTTCAAGATGTCAAAAAGCCTCAGTACACCTCAGGAAACAGAGACTGTGAGAAGGGAGCAAAGAACAGCAGTTATGATGTAAACTGGAACCAGAAAGAATAAAAACCATGAGATTTCACTGAAAGCTTGTGGTGGGAGTTGCCTCAGTGTCCCAGTGAGCCAGAGCAACTGATTTCCCCTGTACACATGCATTGATGTAAGGCAAAAAATATGAGGGATGCTCTGAAAGTAACACCTCTTATTTTATTAAGTTGGCTCATGTAATGCTATAACAGGATGATAATAGCAGAGTGGCAAAGTCTTCAGCTACAGCAAATGAGAACAAGCCCAAATGCAGCAGCCACAGATACAGAAATGAAGGAAAAGAGCTGCATACCTTTGGAAGGCCTCAGGTATGCAGGAATCTCCACCAAGAGATGCCCTCAACTCCACTGCCAACTCTTAAATGAGGTCTGGGAAAGGGTGCATCCTGCCTCCACCCCTTCTAGTCACTCAACTGCATTCCCTGCACCTGAGCTCTCCTGGGTTGGCCCTGCCTTCCACCAGGTGCTCCATCACTGCCTGAGACTGTGACTGAGCATTTCTGCTACAGCCCAAGATGGCAAAGGAGGATGTTGGTGGGATGGCAGTAGAAGCCAAACCTTCCTGCCAGCATTCTGTGACATGTTGTTGCTGTGGCACAGATGGCAGCAGCAGGGCAGTCTGACACAGAAGCGCGTATGAACAAAGGTGAATCACTGATTTCTTCATGTGAAACAATGGCACACACTGACATTCAGTGATGCTTGATGAATGTTTATGCAGACCGTGCAGTGGATGTGAGAACAGTGAGGCAGTAAGTAGTGTGTTTCAGCAGTGGCCACAGCATCACTGGGTTGCTTCTGCTGATGCAGGCTGTTACAAGCGTGGCATGCAGACTGTTGGTCATCACTAGTGAAATGCACAACTAATGGTGCTGTCTATGTTCAAAAACAGTATTTTGTAGCTGAGAATTTGTTCTATCAAATAGTGCCATTGTGCTCTTTGCATCTGTTGAAAGTTTCCATGGAAATAAATAGGATGCATTATTTTCAGAGCAATCAATGTATCTATATCTTCATCAGCAGGCATAAACACTTCACCTTGCATTAGCCCAGAGCCTAGATACAAAGAGTCTTCCAAACTTTCAGAAACAACTAGAACAAAGTTTCTGGAAAAGACGTTTCAGCACTGGAACTCAAAAACATCATTAAAATTTCACACAACTAGTTAGGAAAAAAATGACTGCAACAAAGCACTCTTATTCAGTCACTGAATAAGAACATGAGGCAGTACTGTAGGACTTCCCTTCTTTGTTTTCTCTTTTAATAGTTGGGTCACAAGCCTCACTGTATTGTGCGTGCATAGACCCTGACCAATTGCTCTTTTGAATAGCCAGCTACCATGTGATTCCAATTCCACATGTAAGATTAACAGGCTGCTGTTAATCAATCTAAAAGGAAAAGCAAAACATGTCATGAGTGGCCTTTCACTGATCTAATTTAATCAATTTGCAGCTTCAGAAGAAATGAATATGATCCCAGGGACACTGCCAGAAAGCCTGAGCCATGTACAGCACATGGAACAAAAGTCCATCGTTTTCCCCCAGTGATGTACTGATGCTTTGATTTCCATACTGAGGATTAAAATTGCCTACGTTTTCCAAGGTAACAGCCCTCAGCACACATCAGGTTTATTTATTAACACTGAGTAAAAATCACGTATGGCTTTTTCTCTACATTTACAAACTCCTTGAAAACCACAGGCACTGCACTAGAATTGCACTGTTCCCAACATGAGTCAGCTTAAGTCTTAAGAGATGGCTTCTCACTGGGCTGCACTCCTACATGTGTGTAAATATTGTAAAAGCCAGAAGACAAAAAGCAATGCAGGTTCTGAAAGTGTTCATCTGTAGGCTTGGGAGCAGCAGCTGTGCTGCAGGAGGGTGCAGAACAAGCAACTGAGAGTCTTCTGGTGCCTGAAGTCAGAGGGAATTAGGAGACAGAACCCAAAGCCAGTCGTTGAAGGTGGACAGAAACAGCATTAACCCTCAGGTACTTTCCATTGCAAAGAGAGGCTACTCTACTACAAACTTCAGAACAGCACTATTTCCAAGAGCACATTGTGCCAGGAGACTGCCTTTGATGCAAGTGGAACAAAGGTTTGATCCAAGAAATTTCACAAAACCTTGGTTTGAAGCCAGGCCAGCTACATAAACAAGGACTGAGGACTTCAGCCCTAGAAAA